TAGAGACTAACCTGGAAGAAAAGACAAGTAATCCTCAGACTGATTTCTAGAAAGATTCCATTTTAGACAGAGAAAGGGGTGGCTCGCATAACTCTGCTTGGTTGAAAGCTACCTCAAAGTGGATCCTAAATATCTGTGTAGATCTATGTAAGAGGTCAGAGAGTTGAACACAACCTTATTTATGTATTTGTTTTAATTACAGTGTGCTGAAACATAAAAAAATAAAGAGGATAAATTTAAACAGGAAGTTACTGTTAGTTAAAAGTAATTAAGAGTCCATTCTCCTTTCAGATACATAGGGAAGTCAGTTCACAGACTCAGTAAAAGCCAAACTCAAAGGTATAAAACAAGCTGGCCTGCAGTCAGCAAAGCATTTAAATGTGTGTGTAAGTCCATTCTAATTGTGAGACATACTTAAGCATATACTAAAATGTAAACTTATATTTAAGTCTCATTGAAGTCAATGAGACTTTTGCATATGCCTACAAGTAAATGCATGGTTAAGCGCGTTGCTGAATGGTGAGGGACTCCTGAATCTGGACTCAACTAAGAGCAAGTATTATTATTCTAGCACAATCTGGATCTTGTTATCTATGAGGTTACTAAATGTAGTTTTAGTTGTGTGGTAGTTTTAGAGCTGCCTGAATCCCAAGTATAACTGGTCGTATAAGAAAATTGGCATTTTTTGTTTAGTATGCCCCCCAGTAAGTTGTCACTGGTAGCTTTCCTGGCTTGTTAAGGACCTTTTGAGCCTTTCTGTTACTCTCAGTCAAGTTCCTTCAGTATCTCTATCACCCACCCTTAACCTACTGCAGTTGTCAGTGTTTATTATCTTGAAATACACTCTGGATCCTGTTTCAAATAGTCATTATGTTGAAAGGGCAGTTGTTCCCTTTCTAATGGTTGTGTACTCACTTAAAGAATTTCTCACCTCAAGTGGCAATTGTTTTTGACAAATTTAGCATATCTGAACAAGTGTTAACTGAAAAAAATGTTCCTAGCTCTGTGTCTGTTTGTGTGTGTGTGTTTAGGACAAAGAAGTGGCACTTACTAGGGATTGCAACAGTTTCTTTCTATTTTCTGTTCTGCTCTTGATAAAACTGAGACCTCCTTTGAAAGTATGTGGCTGATTTGCTTAAAACTTTTAGCCACAGCAGGTCACCAGCTAGCGGACCTAAAAAATAAAATTATCCCAAAAACTGTTTTTCTTTCCTTTCCCTCCCACACTACAAGTCATTTAATTTCTCATGCAAAAGACTTGTAGTGTGTAAAAGGATAACTTAATAATATTTGAAAATTGGACTTAATGTTTTGTACCAGTATAAAACATCATTTTTGCTCTAACAGTTCCTAAGCTATTGACTTCTAAAATTGTGATGGACAGACAATGGTGAAACAGCAGGATACAAAAAGCTCAAAATAATGAAAAGCCCTGAATAAAAAAAGATTTTCCCATTTTATGACAACTGGGACAAAAGAATATTTCCTTCCCCTTTGCTCTAGCCATTTGTACCTAGTTAAATGTCAAGTCCCTTTCAAGTCTTTCTGACCTGAATCTCCCCACTACCTACGGGTGGGCTGTGATTGCCTGCAACCTGCAATCACATGCGGTCTCTGAGCTTTGTCTTTTAAGTCATAAGTGGCAGAATCCTCTCACAGGGTATAGGGATGCATATCCACCCTACCACCGATACTTGTTACAAGCCCTGATTACCTGAATTTCAGGAACAGGGTGATCATTGATGCCACAAGATTTGAACATATGCTTAAAGACATCATGTAGCCTCATATATCCAAAGGCAAACAGTGAGTATCACAAGAACTGCCAGCAAGTCAGGTTTCACACAGCACAACAACGTTCATTTCTACCTGTGATGATTCATGAGACACTGGAGCTCAAAACTCTCTCTGGTCTTGATTCTACACTAAGGAGCATCTTACCCTAGAAACAAGTTTTGTTCATTCTAATGGACATGGAATATGGTGCTACTTAATGTACAAGGTTATCAGAACATGGGCCTCTCTACTAGTGCTTTTTTGTGTGTTTGTCCAGGACTAAATATAAAAGACCAGTGTAATTCTTAAACTTAGTATTTAATATTTATTATTATACAATACCCTTGTAGTGCAGTTTTCCAAGATCCTTTCATTGATCACTGTCAGGGGTATGTGCAATATGGCCTTGGCCTTCTCCTGCCCAACGTCCTACCAGAGTAAGACATCAGTATGAAGTCAATGCTGCCACCACTGATCTCCAGTGTTATGCCCTTCCTGCAATGTCTTCGTATCTTTTGATGTTGGCGGCTTATTATGTCAGCTGATGGGGCCCTGACCTGCCCCTTGGAAGACTCCTTCATGGGGCTCCACCCCCACTTACACCCACCTTTACTACCTTCTTGTCTGGGTCATTGTGTTGTGCAATTGTGTGTGATGCTATGAATAGTCACCTTCTTATATGTGATTGGGATGACTGTGTATGCAGCTCTCTGAACTAGAGAATATAAATGCATAAAAAGACATTAAACTCTGTGCCCCTGTACTGGGTTGAACTCGAGAGAGAAATCCTCCCAAAATTAATTCACTAAGGATCTGTGGCTTAACAGGTTCAGAACAACTCAGCGTTTATTCAAAGTCCCTAGCTCAATCAACCTTAATTAATTCATTAAGGGTCTGCAAGTCAATTGACTTGAATCAATTCTCAGCTCCAAAGGCAAACACCACTGACCCCATCGTGTGCCTGGGCATAATTACCTCCTGGGGAACATCTGAGGTCTGGAATCACATGGAAACCCCTGCAGAGAAAACCATCCCTGTCCACAAATCGATTCCTCCCAATCTTGACTTCCCCCCCAGAGCAAGCTGGGCTTTACAGTCAGGGTCTCTTTCCTCTTGGCACTTTTCCAGAAGAAAACTTCAAAACCATGCCAGTGAATTCAGCAGACTCACCCACAGTTCCAACTTTCCCTGTAAGGTGAGCCCTCTGGGTATGCAGTGGGGAGTCCTATCTTTCACTGTAGGGTGAAAAGGGTCTCCTTCGTCTCCCCCCCAAGAACACCGTGGATTCTCCCTGGCTGCCCCTTCTGGGGCCAGATGTACCTGGCTCCAGGCTTCCACCACCAATCCAAAAGGACCGCAGTGGGATTCTCTCTGCCTCAGCTGGGCTTTCCCTTCGCACCTGAGGTAAGTATGCATTGATTTCAGTTTTAGAAGTTTCCTTCTTGCACCACACTTCACCCTTCATAGTAACCAATTATCTGTGTCAAATCTCCCAAAATAAAGTTTATATATTATTGCCTGTCCACTTTCTTTAACCAATCAGTTGTTACAGATTGGACTCTAAAGGAATCAAGGCTGTAAATAAGTCAGGCATTTTTCTAGCTTCTTAGAACTTAGGTAGACTTCTTTGGACTTGCTTGTAAATTTGGCCCACAATGTTGTTATACTGTAAATGAGATTATCCAATATGTCACAAGTGGCTGATCAATAAGAAAAACTTCTGAGGCGTCTGCAACACACGTGTCCATAGTTATCTCCTC